TTAAAAAATTTTTTGAAATCTCCTATTTTAATTTTCGAAACTTCCGAAGAATGTTGGATCAGAGATGGAATTTTAAGACTATTTAAACGTAATTCGATAATATCGCGAAAGGTGATGCGATTTCAAACGAATCACCCGATATATATTGCCGTTTCGTCCTCTCGAGATTTTCTCTTATCCGAAACGAACCTACAGCTACCACGAACTACCGAATCGAATTTAATTACCGATGTGCAGATATTTACTTCGTAAACTACCTAGGAACGGGAGAACCAAATGGAAGGACGAGCGCGGCGAGCTCGTTAAAAATTTAATTTTATACGACGACAGCCGTCTCTCCCAGCTTCTCTGAGCTTCCAGCTGTCTGTCACAAGGGTTATCCAAGATGGCGTCTGACAACACGACTATCTACGAGATTCTCTTTCTAATTAAATCTTTTTCATCATTTTTATAATTTATTTCAATGTTGCACGTTACTCAAAAAGCATCGAATGCAACGTGATACTACACATTATATACAAGGATATAGTTATAATTTCGCGTTACTTTGCTTTTACTGCAGATTTAATGTAATATATATATATTTTTTATTTATATTACTGGATTATAGAAGATGTAATACGACTGAAAGAGACACATCAACGTTTTTCATTAATCGGATTTGTAATACGTAAGAGAGAAAAATTACAAATAAAATAAAAAAAAACTAAGGGTGCAATTTTCTCCGTATTGTTTTCTAAACCATCCGTAGATTAACTTTATAAATGTCTGATAACACGCTGAAAATTTCTGATGAACATTTTTCAAACGCATCGATTCCCTCTTTGGTGCAAGAGATTACGAATAGAGAAGGGCTCCATCGATTTAATTACTCCATAAAATGACATTGCTCGCCTCGACGAAATCCATATCACAGATAATAGCGGCCAAGCTACTTCCCGAGGTTCGACCAAAACAAGTTTGCGGACGGATATGCGCTTATACTGAACCGCAAGGGGTTAAAGCGATTTCCGTTAGTCATAGAAACGCCAGACCCGGGCAAACCATCCGCACAGTTTCAAGCACTCGCGAATAGTCGAGAGAAAGAGAGAGAGAGAGAGAGTTCGGTCGCCTTTAAAAGTTTCATCCATTACCAGGACCGCGATTCTCTTATACTGGCATTTTCAATAACTTTATAATGCCTTGCAGCGGCAGGATCGCTGCGATGAATATAATTGCGCTGAAGTTCGGACAGTTCGCAGTTATTTCTCGCAATGTCGAGAAACGAGTCTTGCGTATAAAAAAATATACAACCAATTTTTACATGACCATCATTCTAATATTAAAAGTTTGATAAATTAAAAAACGCGCACGAATTTTATCTTAATTATTCCCGCATATCAAAAATTTGACAAGTTAGTTAAAACGCATAAATGTCATCTTAATTATTAAATCTGAAAAAACATGAAAAGAGATATCGCATAAATAGAATTGAAAATTAAAAGCGTTTATACAGGTATACTAGGGAAAAAAATTCTCTAGATAAAAGTTAATAGTATTAATCAATCAGACACTGAAAAATCCGCTGTCGCAATAATCGTTTATATAGAATGACGAAGCAAAAATTTTTTTTCGCAAACGTAATGACTCGCGGTTTACAAAGCGAGCGTTAAACTTGAATTTTCTTTTTTTTTGGGAGGGATAATAAATATCTATAAACAATTTACTCTTTCACGTCTAATGAGAGTTCGCGAGAACGAGGCAACGAATTGTTGGTATCATGCACATTTTTCAAGTGTCGCGATTTGCATTTGCACTTAAAGGTACTTCAATTAGTGCGCGCGGAGACAGTTTCGCGAAAAAGAAAACCGAACCCGCCGGCTTTCCGGAGTTTCCTTTAAGCCGCGCAATCGCAATTATCGCGGCGGTACTCGCCGTCGATGAGTTCGTACTTTCCTAGAGTTCCTTTGCTTATACCTTTTATGCTTGTTAAACCTGGTTAAGCGAGTAATGTAAGAAAATAAGTAAAGGTATACTACTATCGCGAGGTCTACGCGTAGTTAGGCAGGTTCGTGGCGCGCCATCCTTAATTACTCGCAACATTAATATTTTTTACCATTAATTGAGCGATTAGTGCGCAAACATGACCGCCGTTTTGCAAGACATAACACAGAAAGAGTTTTCTGTAATTATTTTTTTATATAAATATATAATATATATAATAGAAATATAAAATATATATTAATAATAAAATATTTATATATTTTTTAATATATATACACACACACATAATTTATATAGAGAACAATTCATCATCAGTGATGCAAATAATCTTAATGATAATAATAATTTTTGAACTTTATCTTTTTTTAAATGTTAACTTTGATTTATTTTCTTTAAAAAATGCCTATTTGTATTTTTTATAAGACGTATATTAATAGAGCAGGAAAAGTGAGTGAAATACATGTAAGTAAAGCAATTATTAATAATTATTCTGTGTTGATCTTTAAGCTATTGATTCTCAAATTTCCCCCTGATTACGCTATAAGCTGGCTATTGTTCGAAAGCTTAAAATCAAGTATTACATCTCGTAAAGCTTGGTGCGGACTACGGTATAATGAAGTATCTCGAACTCCCCCGAATCAACAAAGTTTCATTAAAAGCGACCTCGTAAATAAGTACCTTCTACTTATGTGTGTACGTATCTCGAATCGATTTACATCGAGTTATCGAGTCTCTCTATATATATATTCTCCGAAGTCGAATTCAATTCTTCGGATTTTCGACTCTCCTTCGACTGTATTATACCGAAAAACGTGGCCGTACGGCAACCTGTATTTACATTCTTCCTGCCACTTTTCTCACTCGAATGGCACCGTAAGTTTACATTCGTCCAGATGCAACGTAACGTATTGCAATCGTGTCCATACACATTCTTAACCGGGATGCGTCCGTACATTATTCGACTCGATAGACACACACATATATATATGTATCTATCAAATCTCTGAATTCACAAATCTTAAAACTTCGTACTATTTGAAAACCCCTCGAATCGTTAATTTTAATATCTTGTTCTTAAAGCTATGAACATTCTACAATTTTTGGATTACGATATTCTCGTAAAGCGAAGAGAATTTTCTTATAAAATTTACCCTGAAAATCATGGTGGGACAATATATGGTATTGGAAGAATTTTATGAATTCTCTGATTAATATTTCTCACAATAAAAAATATTAATAAATAGCAAATTTTATTATGTACACAGTAAAATTAATCGAACATACTTATACATTATTGTGATAGATATTAATATTTTTTTTTATTTGGTAAATATTAATCTTTTATAAAATTCCTCCAATACCTTGTCCCACGATTACCCTGATTTTTAAGGTAAATTTTAGGAGAAAATTCTCTGTGTATATATAGGCGAGATTTTACTGCCTTTGATACATTGATCGAATTTTAAGACCACGATTATATATTTCGGGAGAGGTAGCTTAAACAATTATTTTTTTTTTCGAGACGCAACTCTTCTTGCATGGAGCTATCGATATATCGGATATGCCGTGAAGGCCATTGGGGAAAATCCTGCGTGACTAGGCGAGAGGATTTAACGACCCTCGTTTATATCGCAGCGGCCCGTAAACGCGAGGGCGGGCTGCGATCCAATTTTTTTTTGCTTTCCCCTGTTTCGCGCTACGACCTTCGTAATACGAGGCGCCATTTCTTTCGTCTCGTCCCTTACCACATCGTATCTCTCTCAGCGGAAGCAATTACGTATGCAAAGAGGCCAAAAAATAACGACTAGTTAAGACTTATCCACTAGATCTATCGATCGAAGCAGTATCAAATTGCCCTTTATCAGTTTATTATCTTTGCTTCGTAAAATAAAAAAAAACTGATGCGGAAAAAAAGATTGCAAAAAATCGATCGCACATCATAAATAATGTGTGGTAATACTAATAAATTTTAATATTAAAATGCCTTTCGGTTATATTATACGTGAGGTAGCTATATATATTTTACATTGCATATCAATTTAACGATTACAAATTTATAAACATTGTTATATATGATTCAAGCTGAGGATTTAAATACAGGACATAGAAATAAAGTATGTAAATTGCATCGTAAATTTGAGAAAAAAAATATATCATCGTATATATTTTGAAAAATATATTATAGTTTTGAAAATGACAAAAAAATCTTGATCGAGCGTGACCACTTTTTCATCATCCTCGTTCATATTACGTGTTCGCAATAAATAACGATATCTTACGCAATTTTAACCCGAAGAAAGATGCACGCGAGAACACTGTATCAATTTCATTTTACCGCGAGCGTAAAGTGAGAGCTTTGTTACTCTCCATTTAAAGGTGTTTTATGCTCGCGGCTTAAAACTCGTCGTAAAGCGGTCGTAAACCCTCCTTTTCGTGATAAGAAACGATAAGACACGATGATCCAGTCGCCTCTAAGATGGATGTTCCCCGATTAACCGCGGACAATCAAAAAATAATAACCCCCCCACGGTTGTAAGATCGAAATTACCTCGAAGCGTACGTGCTCGTGAATTTTTTCTTCCTTCTATGTTTTTTCCTCTCTTCTATATACATAAAATTCTTACGACGACATTCGCAAGATTTATACAGATGAATTACTAATTATTACCGTTTTTACGAAGAGATTCGCGTTACGACAAATCACCGATGACGCACGACTGGTTATAAAGCATTTTACGAGCCATGATTATGTGGCAAATGCATGCCGGTCTCTATAATAATAGTGCAAAATATTTGTGAAACTACAAACAATTCAACGATTTTATAAATCTATATACAAAACGCGTAACAATGATGATCGGAACGATATCATCAAGATGTAGACGATAGACAATGGTCGGATAATATTAATCGCTTTATATCTTGTCCGATTTATGCGCAATTTTATTTTATCACAAATTTGGTAAGAAACTTGTAAAAGAAACGTAGCATCGTGTATAAAATAATTTAAGACTCACCGGTACGATGAGCAACGGCGGAACTGTAGTGCACACAACGTTGATCTGCAAGGTACAAAAATATTTACATTAATAAAATAATGTCTAAAGTCTATAAAATATTTCTAAAAATAAATATCACACTCAGTAGATTCATATTTCTGCTTTTAAATATAGATATATAATAAAAAATTTGATAAAAAAACACATAAATTCTCCTAAACAGAAATTTTTTAAAGCGTAAGTTTCTACGATTCTACATGGTGTCTAGTAAAATTTGAAAATAAAATTTAAGGACATTTCCAGAACATTTCAAAGAAATTGCATAATTTTCCAATAAAGAAAGATGTACAAGAAACCGAAAACTTCATTTTCTTTATCAAAAGTTTATATAATTGCACATTAATGAAAATTAATGTATGCATTACAAATATTCGATACAATATTCTCTTATATTTGAATGCTTAAAATTTACTCTCTAAATTTCTTGAAGTGGCGACTCTCACTTCAAAAAGAGTGAAATCTTAATCTTTATTTTGGAGTGAGATTCCACTCTTTTGGAATGAGATTCCACTTCAAGAAATTTAGAGAGTATATATAAAACACTTATGCGTACACTGAAAAAAATCCATGTACTTTTATGGAAATTACTTGTTCAAAACTGGAAACTGAATTACTTAATTATCACTGTAATTTTTTCCATATTTTTTAAAATGAAAATATTAATATAAAAAAATATATAAATATAAACAAAATTATTATTTTATGCAAAAATTATATGTAATTTTAATTTTAATATTTCTATTTTATCAGAACATTATTTAAAGCATTTAACCATTTTATTTATAATTATTATTTATAGCATTTATATACATTTTCTATATGTAATTCCATATTTAGTGGAACATTTTAATCTTGAAAATAAGAATATATAAGAATATATGTTTCATATGAAATTACATCTGTAATGTTCCATATGAGTAGCAATATTGCATGATTATGCTGGGTCGGAGAAAACCCAGCATAATCATGTATGTTTACACAAATATTTTATTCAGTGTTGCACATATGTTTGGATTCCTAAATAAAAAATATATTGCATTATTACAAAAGTAAGGTGAAATATTTTTACTCGACCAGTTTGGCTCTTTTAGTTAAATGTTTAGCAGCGCAACGAAAAAAATAAAAAAATCTACGAAAAATTAAAATATATTTCTCTTAATTCACAGGATTTTCAAAGGACAAACAAAATTCGAGAACAATTTCCAGAAGGAAGGCTAGACACCAAACATCTGGAATCTCATTTATATACGTCACATTATATGGTGTGAAATAATATTAATGAAAACCGATTATTTAATCGCGGGTATAAACAAGCAATTAATTTCGCATGGGTAATAAATAGTAAATTGAATAAGTTATAAATTGTTCACCTCACGATTACCCGATGCCTCCCCCGGGTCTGTTCCTCCTCTCGTGTTTATCCTTTGCTGCTTCGTCATTCGGGACTACATTCATTCGCGGGAACACGATTAATTACGATCGCGCGCGCATTAATCGGTAGAATACGACAATCGCGCGAATATTACACTTTGCACTGCGTCCCTGAATGTATAATATAATCACACGCGAACGCGCGCTTCATTATATCGCGATTGGGAGAACAATGCGAAAATTACGGCCGCATAAAGTTACGATTCCCTCTCGAAAATCACGCAGTCAAATTCAGGTGCCACTCATTGCGGCGCATTTGCGACTTTTATTGCTAACAAATGGTATACGCGTGTAATTTTAGATAATTTTATTATATATATATATATATGTCACATTAAAACACGCGCGTGAGTGAACAAATGCACAGTTTAAATTTAAAGATTAAATATCCGAGGAATATATATATATATAATATTCAAAGATATGTCGTAGTTTTTTTGTCGATTACTATAGCGTGATAGATTTTTGTTGAATAAATAATATAAAATATATATCGTTTTAAGTATAAATGTATTTCGTGTAACGACGTTCAATTCAGAGTCGATCCATTTGCGACGTGTTTTATTAATCACGAAAAAAACTCGAAAATATCACTGACAATTTTGCTTTGATATCGTGCGATTCCATTTGCAAGTTAATAATAGTTAACCGAAAGATGCGTTGTGCCATTCAAAAATAATCCGAAATTCAGTATTGTACACGTAATATATTTCGAATACATAAATCTCTCGAAATAAATGTATTATTAATAAACGATCGATATATCACGGCTTTCCGTTATGCGAATTATTTCCGGTGATTTGTGTATTATTCCGAATTTATACGATACGCCAAAATGTCAAGTTAGAAAAGAAGACGAAAAATGTTATCGTATTAAAGCGAAATACATTAGAAGCGTATTTATAAAGAAAAGTCATTATATATATCGCTTGTTCAAACACGATTTACAATTACTATCAAATATAATTTATTTTTTTCAGCACAATAGAACAACTTTACAATTTCCATCGCGCACCGCTTCGACTTTTCTTTCGATTATGTCACGCGAAACTCTTTGTTCGAGAAGAAGGATTGCAAAGCATCATCGCTTCGATAAATAGCCGTTCTCGCAATACTCGTGCAAACGCTGACTGATAATCAATAATTGTAATAATAGTTGTAATAATCACGTTCGGCGTCTCCCAGCACCTGTCGCGACCGAGTCTCAAAATACACTATTGACCTACGACAATACATAAATACACTCCTCTCCAACATGTTTCCTTCTTCTCGATGTGCGAATAATTAGTCACAAGAATGTCTACAAGCGTCATGTATATGTGGTGTTTGATTATATTATTTCGTTGCCAACATGAAATATTTTATACGCGTATTATAAAATTAATGTGCAAAATATTCTATTTATTTCACGAATTAATTGGTACTTAATACTGAAGAAAATTCCATCTTCTTCGATTTTGCCGAAACTACAATATCGTGTATTTCTATGTGTATATGTAAATTAAAATTGTCGCTCTTAAATAGAAAAAAGTTACAATGAGTTCCCTTAGGAAGGCGCATTATAATTTATAGATTCGTGTTTCACGCACTAAAATGCACAATAATATTGTTAAAGTTTCGGCAAAATTGAAAAGGATTTTCACAGAATTATTATCCAAAGAAAAAATTAATGAGACTCACCGATACAATGCACAGCAGCAGTTGTAAACTGTAAAATATAAATACATGAAAATTATTAAATGGGGAAATTTAAAATTTATATATACATATATTGATAAAAAAAAATTATTATTTACATAAAGTTTAAGGCTCTGCGCACAATAAATAAAATATTAAATTATAAACAGAAGAAAGAAAGAGAGAGACAGATCTTTTTTCTTTCTCTCTTCTGTTTAATATTTAATCTTTAATATTTAATGCTTAATATTTAATATCTTTCCTATTGTGCGCAGGGCTTAATAATAAAATATAAGAATTTAATTACTCACCATATAGTTGTCTGGACGTTGCCCGATGCCACCCAGGGCCTCCTCCTCGGAGAAGCTTCAAAACACTCATACTCGCATTTTTTTTTCGTTCGCGACACGCGACGACGCCCGGCTTTTAGCTGTCACATTTTCGACGAATTCACTTAAACGCGAGAATCGCGAGAGCTTATTCGCGCGCGACCGAGGCTCCGTTTCGGCGTCGCCGCCTTTTCAAGGCCCACTTATCGGAGGGCCTCATCGAACGACGAAGACAACCTCCTCCGCAACGCACTCGGAAGTCGCCGATAATCCCAAAGTTAGCCACGTACTCGACGCGATTCCGAGAATCCGATGCTTCACTTCACGAAACCTCGAGCACTTACCGAATATCGTATGCACTCGCGATCGTTCCGCGTCTCGATAATACACGATTAATATGCACATCTCGCTCTTTGTCAAATATTCCGACTCGACATAATTCTGAGAATGTTGTGGAAAGCAACGTTCGATGTCGAGACATAATAATAATAACATGGCGACGCGACCGTGCCATAGTCGACATTGGCGAATTTTACGAAGATTATGAATTATATTCGTCGCGGAACGATACTTTGACACAATGACCCGAAGATACAACCGGAAACGCGTAATCTTCCGCTTAGGGCACGATCGACAACGCCGAAAACCTCGAGAAATTCGCGTCGAAAGCGCAGCTTTAATTCGACGATCCGCTTTAAAGTGGACTGGCCCGTGCACTGACTTCCGCGACTCGAGACGGAGCCGTGACGTCACGACAAGGACGACAAGGCCGCGAGGAGCGAAGCGACATCGAGCGAGATCTCTGGCCGACGAGATCGATCTCGCGCGCGCGATCGCGATCACGATAACGATATACGCGACGAATGTATATAATAATTAACTGCGTAAAGAGACTCTCTAATTAACATTCACACTCGTATCTTCGCGGCACGGACGGCAACGAACGCGGGAACGTTGAGCATGAACAATGCGAAGAGCACCAGATGGCAGCTCCGATTGGTCGGTCGAATTCTGCGCCGACCAATCGGAGCTCTTCGTCCTGATTGGTCGGTCGACGCTTCAACCTAGGGGGGACAGATTTCGAACTCAATCTAGATTGCTGCTGCCATCTGGTGGTCTTCGCATTGTTCATGCTCAACGTTCCCGCGTTCGTTGCCGTCCGTGTCGCGAAGATACGAGTGTGAATGTTAATTAGAGAGTCTCTTTACGCAGTTAATTATCATATACATTCGTCGCGTGTATCGTTATCGTTATCGTGATCGCGATCGCGCGCGCGAGATCGATCTCGTCGGCCAGAGATCTCGCTCGATGTCGCTTCGCTCCTCGCGGCCTTGTCGTCCTTGGGGTCAATTGTGTAATTTTTTCTAAAGTGAAAATGTGAAAAGTGAAAAATTTCTTCCAATCACACATCGATTTTCTTTTAAAATCAATGCGTGATTGGAAGAAATTTTCACTTTTTACATTTTCACTTTAGAAAAAGTTACACAATCGACGCCCTTGTCGTGACGTCACGGCTCCGTCTCGAGTCGCGGAAGTCAGTGCACGGGCCAGTCCACTTTAAAGCGGATCGTCGAATTAAAGCTGCGCTTTCGACGCGAATTTCTCGAGGTTTTCGGCGTTGTCGATCGTGTTCTAAGCGAGGGATTACGCGTTTCCGTTTGTATCTTCGGGTCATCGTGTCAAAGTATCGTTCCGCGACGAATATAATTTATAATCTTCGTAAAATTCGCCAATGTCGACTATGGCACGGTCGCGTCGCCATGTTATTATTATTATGTCTCGACATTGAACGTTGCTTTCCACAACATTCTCAGAATTATGTCGAGTCGGAAATATTTGACAAAGAGCGAGAAGTGCATATTAATCGTGTATTATCGAGACGCGGCACGATCGCGAGTGCATACGATATTCGGCAAGTGCTCGAGGTTTCGTGAAGTGAAGCATCGGATTCTCGGAATCGCGTCGAGTACGTGGCTAACTTCGGGAATATCGGCGACTCCCGAGTGCGTCGCGGAGGAGGTCGTCTTCGTCGTTCGATGAGGCCCTCCGATAAGTGGGCCTTGAAAAAGGCGGCGACGCCGAAACGGAGCCTCGGTCGCGCGCGAATAAGCTCTCGCGATTCTCGCGTTTAAGTGAATTCGTCGAAAATGTGACAGCTAAAAGCCGGGCGTCGTCGCGCGTCGCGAACGAAAAAAAAAATGCGAGTGTGAGTGTTTTGAAGCTTCTCCGAGGAGAAGGCCCTGGGTGGCATCGGGCAACCTCCAGATAATTATATGGTGAGTAATGAAATTATATTTTTATTACTATTTTTACTATTAAACTCTATGTGAATGATAATTTATTTTAACAATATATGCATATATTAATTATTTTTAATTTCACCAGATAATTTCCATGTATTTATATTTTATAGTTTGCAACTCCGCTGCTGCGCTTCGTATCGGTGAGTCTCATCAATTTTCCTTAAATTTTGAATAATAATTCTGTGAAAATCCTCTGATTTTGAATCTTTAATAATATCGCGCATTTTTGTGCGTGAAACATGAATCTATAAATTATAATCCACCTCTCTACGAGAACTCACTGTAACTTTTTTTCTACTTAAGAGCGACAATTTTAATTTACATATACACGCAGAAATACACAATATTGTGAAGGTTCGATATAATCAAAGAGAACGGAGCTCTCAGTATTATCGAAAACATTAATATAGCAATATATCTGTCACGTCATTATCTTCTCTTGCATATCGAATTTAATAAATATTCGTCGTCATAAAGGTTCACACGAATCGTTAATCATGTGGATCACAAATCACAAATAATTATATATTTTAATAATCACGAATTTGACGTCCTCTAATTTCTCGCGATCGTGTCTCGACAATTAAAGATTAAAGATGATAAACAAGTGGCACGCACTGGTATATATATAAAATGTATATTTTCCTTTTCCTTCTCCTCGACGTGCAAAATATACGAATATCAACTGAAGCATTTCTCATGTTTTCCCGATCACGTTTTATATGTGTGTATAGATTTACGAGACATTATTTGTGTGCGCAGTATCTTATCATTCTCGCGGCGAAATTCGAGTGAGAAAGTAGTAAAATATGATTTCGTGTGTAACCACATCATTAGCCTTCGAGAAATGTCATCATTCTCCGTGATATTAAATTATATTAGCAATTAAAATGTATCGAAGCGATGGCTATTTATCAAAAGTATATTTTCGTGCAATTTTTTTTAAATATATGAGTGACAAGAAGTCGAAGCATGATAGAATGATAATTATGAATTATTTTATTATTTCAATATTTTAAACAATTGTTTCTTCGATACATAGATCTAAATGTATCGACAATTTAGCATAGATTGCACAATTATCGGGAGTAATATACAATTACCGTAACAAATGATTCAAATAAAAAAAAAGTGCCGCGATCATATATTGACTATTAATTAATAATTTATTTCGCGGGATTTATTATGTATCTCGTGTATAATATCGTGAATTTCGATTGTATATTTCGGGACGGTACATTGCCTCTCAACTGGCCCATTAACTCAACTCGCGTTAATATCGCGCGATATCAAAGTGAATGAAGTTGCCAATGTCATTTTCGGTCATTAACAAAACGTTGCGTTTACGAAGCGGATCCAACAACGTCGCGATATGTTCAATTATAATAAGTACATTCGTTATTAATTCTGCATTTTAATATTTATCAATCGCGCATCATAAACTCGGTGTTTGTAATACATCGTTGTAATTTGTCAAAGCCCATATTTTGTGAGATTTATTTCAAAATCGTTCGTGCAAACAGTTCGACGAACTTAACTATATCTTTGAGTATATCTCGTATATACAAAAAGAAAATCCTCGAATATTTAATTCTGTACGCTTAAATCAAATTTGTTAACTTAACTAAACCTTTTAACTAAATATTATTTTGTTATTTCAATACGCACAAATATTTAAATTAAATATAACATATTAAATTCAATATAGCTTATATTTGACTTAAATATTAATATATGTTCCATTAACAAATTAATAATTTAGTTGAAAGGTTGTGTCAAATCAATTTTTTTTTAGTGTATAGTCTATTCAGACCTTATGATATCAGACACTAATTATAATAAAAGGAAATACGTGTATACCATTTATTAACTATGAATATAATGTCATGCAAGGAACTCGTGAATTTAAATCGCGACATTTTCGCATTGTTCCCTCATCGCGATGAAATCAAACGCGTGATTATACGTCGAAAGTCCCGTGCAAAGTGTCGCGCTATCGTCGTATTTTATCAATTAGTGCGCGCGCGATCGTAATTAACCGCGTTTACGCGAGAGTCCTGCAAAAGTATCATAAAGAAGCAGCAGCAAAGGAGGAGCAAGAGAAGAAGGGAGGCATTTGGCGACAGCGGAGTACTGTAATTCATAACTTGTTTATCA